TTATTTATTTATTCAGGAAAAAGGTAAAAGCGTGAGCCATAGTCAACAAGACTCTACATATACGGACCAAGCCGCGGCGGCGTTTGAGAATAGGTACAATAAAAATCACTTTCGTGTCACTTTTTGTTTCTAGCTCTCAGCACAGCTCTCAGCCACAAGTGAGAACAAGGAACAGAATCTAAAGGCAATCAAGGATAGTACAATTAAGTTTTACTAAGAGAATATGCAATTAAAACAAGCTAGGTATCCGTTTCTCCGTTCAATATTCTTACAACTTAGTAGAAGCCTCGCAATTTTTGCTCTGAATTTTTAATTTAATGTACCAAGGCTTTCATAAGTGAGTATAAAACGAGTTTATTTAACAGGGTTTACGATACAGAAAATAGCCCCCAAGTTTTATCAGATGCTTTTAGAGTACACAATAATACTGGCGCAAGGAAAAAATTTCCCAGGTGCTTACTTTTGAAGTTGTTGTTTGAAGAAAATTCAATTTTTACAAGATTTTTGCCTTGCCTAATGAGTTTATTAAATTGTGTTTTACATGAGTTTCGGTCGGTTTTTCTACCGACATCAAAATTGATAGCATGAAAAGATTTTGCTATAAGTAAAAATTAGGGTTTTATACTGCTGATATCTCCAACTCCAATATTTTGCTGTTAAAAAACTCCTGTCAGCTCATCTGAAATATACACTCGACATCAAATAAATCACACCTCCCGCGACAAGCACTTTTAAACGTATGCATCCCCACTTCCCACCAATATTGGCACCATTTAAAAGCCTAGTTCTAAACTTCATTTCATTAAAGGAACCCCAAAAATGTGTCTGTAGAAGAATCCAGAGTCACTTCTTCAAAAAATAGGTAGTTACGCTTGAGCCAACTTTTATGGCTATAAAAATGTTAAGTTGGAATTAATCGCTATCTATCTGTTAAAGAGGACACGTGTGTTCATTATTTGGTTTTATAACCAAAAAAATTGGTCTAATTGATCCCAGAGGTGAGCCCAAAGTAAGGTCTTTTTTCAAGTCACATTTATGATATACTAGTTGACCCGGCGAACTTTGTTCCGCCTTAATGGCAATAAATAAGCAGACTTTTTTTTATTTCGAACGGGATAAAAAGTATCCTATGTCCTTCTCCTGGCTCTAAACTACCTCCCTGACAATTTTCAGCTAAATCGGTTCAGCCGTTCTTGAGTTATAAGTGGAGTAACTAACACGACTTTCTTTTATATATATAGATGTTAACCATTTATTAAGAAATTAAATGTGTTTACCTTTAAGGATATTTATTGAGCTTTCAAATAACACCAATATTGTTGGGGCACCATGATTATGTCAGTAGAAAATCTTTGAAGTTCGCGTCGCGGAAGGTGCGGTTTATTTGATGTTGAGTGTAGCTCATTATAGTTTTGCCAAAAATAGACTTACTGCTGATAACACTAGCACAGCAGTAGGTATCTATCTCCTGTAAATGTTATGTTTTTTCCTAAGTCATCTACAATTTTCATATTTATGTAGTCTCTTCGGTGTCAAAATCCTTTGTAAATGTAAATAAAAAGTAATGGGAAACATCACTGTTACAAAGAAAGCAAACAAAGGTGTCAATTATTTTTTACCTTTTGATATTTACAAACACATTCACAATTTGAGCTGATACGAAACAATACGAGAAGAAATACGAGTATTTCGGTGTCAATTATATTTAACCTTAGCGCTCATGCACAGCGATTTTTTTAAGCGCAATGTTTTCCCTTTCAAAATAACATGCATCAAATCAATATAATTTCCCAGCATAGCAAACGCGTAACGGCACGTTTAAAAAAGCGTGGTGTGTATAGTTCATTATTTTCTTTTGTAGATATTTGAAGTCTATTTTAATAGTAAATAGGGTATAGCTTCAGATCAGGTATAGTAGATGTTACTTTAAGTTACCGCGATTAAAATTACGACTCGTTAATGTTTATAGATCGTCATCCACGAAGATGCGCCCCACCACTTTTTGGTCGAGGGAAGCGCGGGGTGCGGCGAGTTTGATCTGAGCAATCCGAGCGTCATTATTGTAGTGTAATGATCTACCTATCTATATCTGTCGCGTTTTGGAAATCGATTGAATAGCTCATAATTTATCAATTCTATTGCGATTCAACGACTGATTGTGTTGAAAGCTTCCGTAAAACGACTGGCTTTTTTATGTAACTTTGTAGAGTATTTTATCGCTAGCAAAAGACACTGTATCGCTGGTTGCAGATAAAAGAAAAACAAGTCTGTATCCTTCCTTACTGTCACTGCAAGTAAAACTTATTGTTAAGATAAAATATAAGAATATTTTCAATAACGGCTCACTGAACCCCGAAGAGCTTTCATTGCTAATGGTGTTGGAGAAATATAAAAGTTGAGAGTGCTTCACTGAAACAAAATAGACGAATGATAGTTATTGAAAAGTTTTTGTTGACTGTTTGCTTTTATCGTACCCCAATGTTGTTATTATAATTGTCGCATGAGTGTAGGGGCATAACGAGTGACTTGTCTTCCTACTTTGAAATGGCGCCAAGATAAACGACAGTACATAAAGAAAACCCATTAAACAAAAAACCTTTGAAATACGGATATTTTGTTACACATATAACTTAACTTTAACGTATTTCGAGTTTTGAGAATTATTGATTGCAATTAAAGCGACGAAACATGACTTGTTTGAGATCAGTTCGTATCCTGGAACTTCTTTGAATTCGACGAACGTGATCTTTGTTTCCAGTAGCTTATTTAAAGCACTCGTCCACTTGGCAAAAGACCCGGATTTTAATACCGCCGTAAGCTTTACTTATATTATAAAGCTGAAGAGTTTGTTTGTTTGCTAGAACGCGCTAATCATAGAAACTTCTAATCCGATCTGAAAAATTCTTCCTGTGTTGAATAGCCTATATTTATCGATGAAGGCTTTACAACATCATCCTACAGCTTATAGGGGTAGAGCAATAAAAAAAAATGTAAACGGGTAATATTATTCGAACTATTTTCGCGGTTACGAAGTCGCGGGCACAGCTAGTTATACTAATAAATGAACTGTTTAGAATTTTTGTCATTACTTATGTAGTATTTCCAACACTATTAGCCACAATGCAGCAATGGTCAAATATAAGGGTGTTTGTTAATTTCTTTCATTGACTCCATTGACACGTTGTGCTCTGTAGCCTGTTAAATTGCACCTCGTTCCCAAGGATTTAACTTCAAATAAGTTTATCGGCTGATGTAGGTAAGTTAGTAATCGATAAAATGCAAGAAGTTTAACTCGATACGATGGGCAGTCACCGCTCACGATAATGGTTTTAGCTCAAGTGGTTCTAACTCGTTTACTGATAGTTAGGACGTGCATGCCAAGCGGTTCTGTGAACACATACCGACGCCCGTATTCACAAACGATGCTTGCTTAAGTGAAGCAACAAATCGAAAGCACAGCGTTGAATAGAGCTCTGTGATTGGTTCGTGTGTCACCCTGTGAGACCTCATAGTAATGTTTGTGAAAACGGGCGTTACCTACTTATATTATGGAGGATAATTAATGATTAAACGAACTTACCAAGTGAAGTTCTATCATAATTATACGAAGCACCTCGTCCGAAGAGATAAGTATCCTGAAATTAATATATTATTATTCACAACATGTAGTAACGCATATTAGTTACCGATCTTGCACTATGGTTGAGAGATAAATAAAAAAAAAAAGAACTAATTTTCCGCTATGGTCACCCCGGCCTCACCAATCCGCCATCATTGTCATTTAGTTTAGAGATGTTGTGATATTACCGAAGCCCGTATTTTTGGGTCGGGTTTCGGGAGGGTGATGGATACTTATCTCTTCGGACGAGGTGCTTCGTATAATTATGATAGAACTTCACTTGGTAAGTTCGTTTAATCATTAATTATACTCGCACCTCGTCCTCGAGATAAGTATCCTGAAATTAATATATTATTCACAACATGTAGAGGTTGAGAGTATTTGTGTTTCGGTAATATCACAAAGAGTAGTCGTTGTAAATAAAAGTTAATTGATTTAATCAATATTGTTGTTTTATTTACCAAAAATAACAAAGAATGGACTTATCTCATAATTATATTTTTATATAGTCAGTAGAAAATCTCATTACACATATGTAAATTATGTAAATAATAGGTTTATCTTGTATATTAATAGAATCAGTACATTGTAACTTATGTTAAATCAAAATCATCAATCCTCTATTTAATCCTGATTAAGGACAGCTCTGGCTAAAGGAGTCTGATCCTCGTTTCTTATTATTCTTTGATAGAATTTACCGAATGTAGTGGAAGTACCAATTAATGATTAAACGAACTTACCAAGTGAAGTTCTATCATAATTATACGAAGCACCTCGTCCGAAGAGATAAGTATCCTGAAATTAATATATTATTATTCACAACATGTAGTAACGCATATTAGTTACCGATCTTGCACTATGGTTGAGAGATAATTAAAAAAAAAAAAGAACTAATTTTCCGCTATGGTCACCCCGGCCTCACCAGTCCGCCATCTTATATTGTCATTTAGTTTAGAGATGTTGTGATATTACCGAAGCCCATATTTTTGGGTCGGGTTTCGGGAGGGTGATGGATACTTATCTCTTCGGACGAGGTGCTTCGTATAATTATGATAGAACTTCACTTGGTAAGTTCGTTTAATCATTAATTATACTCGCACCTCGTCCTCGAGATAAGTATCCTGAAATTAATATATTATTATTCACAACATGTAGAGGTTGAGAGTATTTGTGTTTCGGTAATATCACAAAAAGTAGTCGTTGTAAATAAAAGTTAATTGATTAAATCAATATTGTTGTTTTATTTACCAAAATTAACAAAGAATGGACTTATCTCATAATTATATTTTTATATAATCAGTAGAAAATCTCATTACAGATATGTAAATATGTAAATAATAGGTTTAGCTTGTATGATAATAGAATCAGTACATTGTAACTTATGTTAAATCAAAATCATCGCCTCTATTTAATCCTGATTAAGGACAGCTCTGGCTAAAGGAGTCTGATCCTCGTTTCTTATTATTCTTTGATAGAATTTACCAAATGTAGTGGAAGTACCACTCCATCCCGCAGTCTTTCGGATGACATCTATACTGACACCCTTTTGGTAAGCTTTAGAAGTGGCAGCGTGCCGGGTACTGTGTGCCGTGAATATGGAGATATCAATTCCACAATCTTTGAGAGTGTTCTTGATCCATCGACTGATGGTTTGAGTAGTGACTGCTTTATAGGGTTTTTTAAAAGTTATTAATAAGTTTTCTGTTTGGCGAAGTGAAGCTGTCTTTTTAATGTAGCACAGTAGCGTGGTAGCTGGGCATATGCTGAGTTTTTCAGTGAAGAATGGTATGCAAATAATAGGTTGATTGGTACCTGGCTTCGATGTTTTAATTAAGTCTGGTATTTTAATGCTAATATGGTCTGTAGAAGATTCTATATTACTTATGTTTATTTTATGAAATGTTTGTGATCTATGCGCCGTTGTTATGGCCAGTAAGGTAACGCATTTTTTGGTGAGTTTCTGCAGAGAGAGAGCTTCATTAGGGTACCACTCACTTAAAGCATCTAGCACTTTAGAGGTGTCCCACGTGACATTGTATTTAGGGGCTGGGGGTCTGAGTCTAAAAACCCCTTTAAAGAACCTTTTGATTCTATCATCTGTGGATATGTGTGAACCTACTATAAGAGAAAGAGCACCTCTGTAACTATTTAATGTGCCATATTGCACGCCAGACTGATAAAGTTGGGTAAAAAAATAGATGATTGTTGGAATTGAAGCTTGAAAGATATTCCGGTTATTGTGAACACAAAATTCGTGCCATCTTCTAAGACAAACGTTGTACTGCTTGATGGAGTTGTCGCTTAGTGACGCCAGCATGATATCTATAGATGAAGGTGGTACACTACGTCTCAGCAACGCCGTCCGCACAAGATTCCGGCAGCCAGGGTAAGGTTGGAGTGAATCTTGCCTTTGCTGGAATGGGAGATAACCACATTGTCATTCGGTTTAAAAATTATTAAGTCAGATATCAAAAGACTCGTGAATATTGGGTACCAAGCTTGTGTAGGCCACATTGGGACCACCACGATGCCTTTAGCTTGGTCTGATATTACTTTTCGGAGGGTTTTCAATATAATTGAAAACGGAGGAAAGGCATAGAAGAAAAAATTGGCCCAATTGATAGTAAACGCATCAATAGCGAGTGCATCAGGATCCTTTTTCCATGACACATAAACGTCACATTTTTTATTAATGCGACTAGAAAATAAATCGATTTCAGGGAAACCAAATTTGTCTGTAATAGCTTTAAAGGCAGAGTTTTTTAATTCCCACTCAATGTCTGGATGAGTTCGTCGTGACTCCCCATCCGCGATGTCATTGTCACTAGATTTTATGTATGAAGCAACTACAAAAATACTACGTTGTTCACACCATTGCCATATAGATTTTGTTATGGCCGTTAAGTGGGGGAATTGTATGCCCCCCATGCGATTAATGTAACTAATCGCAGTGGAATTATCTAGACGCATTAGTATTTGACAATTGGTGCAGTTTTTAGCAAATATTTTAAGAGCTATAGACGCGGCTAAAAGTTCTAATTGGTTAATGTGATATTGGCGCTCTTTGTTGGACCACGGACCACTGGCAGTATCAGATCCGCAGGCAGCCCCCCACCCCGTTGTTGAGGCGTCAGAGAAGATCTCTAGTTCATGGTGGTCGTCTCTTATTCGTTTTACGGAATGAGGGACAGCCTGTAACCACCATTCCAAGTCCTCATGTAGGGAAGGCGGAAGTATCATGGTTTTGTTGTAATCACCATGCCCTTGAAGATTCAAATATTTACAACGTTCTAGTTGTTTTGTGTAGAGCCAGCCATATTCTATCGCAGGGCAGGCCGAAACTAACAGTCCAACAAATTGTGCGAAATATCTGATTTTGCATTGGTTTAGTTCTATAACTTTTTTGGTTTCATTGACTATTCGAATTCGTTTATCGGAAGGTAGTTGAATATTCATTTCATTTGTGTCAATTACAAAGCCCAAATATTTGCATGTTGTTGAGGGAGTCAAAACGCTCTTTTTCAAATTTATTATGAACCCGAGACTAGTGAGCAGTTTTTGCGTTGTTTCTACGTTATTCAGGCAGCCGTGATACGAGGCGGACAGTAAACATAAATCATCTAGATATATAGATGATAAAAAACCTGCTGATCGTAGCAATTTTACTACCGGTTTCATCACTTTGGTAAAGATGTAAGGTGCCGTGTTAAGACCAAATGGTAAGGCGTTGAATTCGTAAAGGATATTATTAAATGTAAATCTCAGATATTTTCGGGAAGTTTCGTCTATTTTTAATAAAAGGTACGCGTCTTTTAAGTCTAAAGTAGCCATTAGCGAATCTTTTTCTATGATTTTTAGGACTGTACGTATGTCTTCTAACTTGAAATGATAAGTGTCAATGTGTTTATTTAAGTTTTTTAGGTTTAGTATTAACCGCATCTTACCATTTGGTTTTGGCCTTAGAAAAATACTTGATATAAATTGGTTGGGACAAGGTTTACATTTAGAAATAGCTCCAATATTGTAAAGTTCTGATATAGCTTCCTCAAATTGTGTAAACTCTTTAGGAGAGAGTACAGGTGGTTTCGGAATAGAACATTGTTTTACAGTGCTATTAAACTCAATTTTGTAGCCCTGGATCCAAGACAGGACGGTCTGATTGTCTGTGATCCGTAACCATTGGGAGTAATATTTAGATAAGCGTCCCGCGTAGTTTACCTCTTCTAACGTCGATAGTTGGTCGTCTTCTGCCGTTGCGATGACGTCTTGGATGATCCGGCGGGCCGATTCTGGTGATAGACAGGTGGTTGGGTCTTCCTCGTGGTCGCAGGTGGTCTCTGAGGCTGAGCCACCTGGGCTTTCACGTTTAAAGTACCGGCTTTAGATGTTGAGGGTTGGGGTTTTTTGACGTCCTTTCTAGTATTCGTGTATTTTATTTCAGCACCGGACTTAGACACGGCTTTAGCTGTTTTTAGTGTATCAGCAAGATTTTCACTAAATAGAAATTTGTCAATTTTGGAGTTCATTATTTGGGATTTGACGTCTTTTTTCAGTACTGACGTACTAAACATTCGCCTGGTCACTGAATCGGAATGCTGTATGTCGCACAAAAGTCTATTTGCGTCCATAAGTTTCTTCAATAACTCCTTGTTTTGATTTTGGGGTTCCAGCAAAAATGAAGTAGCTGATGCTACGCAGGAGATGGCCGATGCCAGGAGTTTTTGTTTAGATTCTATGGCTTTGTCGCGATTGGCTAACGTTTCAGGCAAAGCTGCTTTAATCTCCGGATTCAATGCGGGAGCGCCTAAAAGAATTGCATTTGACGGAAGCAGGTATTTTTGTTGCAATTCTTTTCTAGTTTCTTTGGTTAAGCCAGAGGCTGTAATATGTTGTAACCGGGTTGCGAGTTCCTTATGGATTTCTTCTCCGTACTGTACAGTAGTGGAAGGGTCGTCTCCAAGGACCTCTAAAATGTCTTTGTCCAACTGTGTGTTTTCACATTCTTTATTGGCAGTCTCGCCCGAGATATGTTCTAGATTGACTAGGTCACTTTCGGGTTCTATTTCTGCGTTGGGCAAAACTGGGGTTGTATTCGTGATTTCGGCCAAGTTTTGGTTGGATTGAGAAACGTTAGTACTATTTTCGAGATCGATTATTGGTTCTTCTATTAGCCCATTATCTGAAAATAATGGTTTATAATTGTAAACAATACCTGTGATGAGTAATTATTTACATTCTGATTTGTAATTAACTTGATTTTTATCGTAATAAAATTATTAGAATATTGTTTACACAATATTTGCAGAATGTAGTGGAGCAGTCCAAAGATCAGTCCGGTTACATTCTTATGTAAAAGAGATTTAAGCATAAATGCAGTGAAACAGACCACAGTACAGTTCGAGTTGCATTTTTTGCTTTTTTCGTAAAAATTACAATATTTAATGTAATATTATTTTTAGCATAGATACGATCAGTAAATGCGTTGAGACAGTCCGATGATCAGCTCGAATGCATTGTGTCGTATAATAATTTAAATCACCAAGTAAACCCGTACAATTTCTAATTGAGGGTAACCGAACATTTATTATGTGCTGTGGGACAGTCCAAAGATCAGCCCGATTGCACCTAATGTGAATATTAACGGATGCTTTTCATATAATTTGTTAACACTTAATAAAAGGTAACAGTGGGTACGTACCGTTATAGCTATTTTTAGATTCAGAATCACTATCCGAAGAAATTGTGTTTTGTTTCCGTGCTCGCTTTAATTNTGCACATATTCTGCACACATGTCCTCTTATTCAGCCAGGTATAACCGCGAGGACGAATGACGTCATTTGACCGAAACGATGATAACCGCAAGGTGGGGTATGCCCAAGGGTAAGGATGTCTCTGGTAGCCTTATTCTCTGAAGCGGTCGCAGCCCTTTTTTCCAATGAGTTAATTTACTACTGTACGCATAAACAAAACATATTATTATTCTTTAAGCTACTTGACTATAATGTATACTTACATTCGTGATGGAATAAAAGTCTTGACAAAGCCCAGACGGTACGTGTGACATAGGCACTACTTCCTTTTGTAGCTCGTTGAAATCTGTAAGTAATAGGTGCCGATGCAAGATTATACCTACATAATAATTGTAGTATATCATAAAACAAAAACTTACAAATAAAATTAATACTTACCAGAATTAAACTTCACGACATAGAATTCTGGGTCGCGCAGCAAATCCGGGGGTGGGCAAAGGGGCCTTATAGCACTCACTGAAATAAAACATGCAATATTATTATGAAAGTATCAAAGCCTTACGTTACCATATGCATAAAACTGATTCTATTATGAGTCTACGTAACACGTCAGACAAATATAAATCCAGCTTTACTTCGTTTGCTACTTACGGGACTATTCCCACCTCTCTTTCCCACCACTGCAACTCCTGTGTAGCCAGGATCTACAGCTTGACCACCAATAAAAACCCAACCAGTGAAGATCAAGTTTGTCCCGGGGGAAAGTTAAACGGTTAAACTGTCATTGGACCCTCAGAAGAACATAGGAGGAGTTCGAAGTTAAGGTTCGACTTCCCTCCGTTGTTTGCTACTTGTATAAAGGAGCTGGAATTAGTTGTCAGTGCTTGCAGCCCAGGTAGCTCACTCGCCGCGTCTCAGTAGGTCCTCGGATGCAGAACGAAGTTGCTCACGTCAGCTTAGGTATGCAGAACGTAGTTGCTCACGCGGTGCTTCACTCGCTCTTAAACGTGCTTGCAGTCCAGGTAGCTCACCGTCTCTCACTGGATCCTTGAGCTCCGGTATTCAGTCTGTCCATTCTCGTACTCGGATGCAGAACGTAGCCACTCGCTCTTATCGACGTCAAAATGTATGATAAAATGGCGTGATAATAACCGCTTGCGCATCCTAGTACTGACTGGTAGCTCACTCACCGTCTCTCACTGGATCCTTGAGTTGCACGAGCGCGACGGTGTTCAACGTCTGTCCGTTTTATTATTCAGGGGGAAGAACGAAGTTGCTCACGCGGCGCTTCACCCGCTCTTATTAAAGAAGCACTTGCAGCCCAGCCGGGCTAGGATCCGCATAAGACAAAAATCGATAAAATGGCGTGATAACCGCTTATCCAGGCAGTCCTCCCACTAGGTGGACCGACGATCTGGTGAAGGTCGCGGGAGGCGCCTGGATGCGAGCGGCGCAGGACCGGTCTTTGTGGAAATCCTTGGGGGAGGCCTTTGTCCAGCAGTGGACGTCTTTCGGCTGAAACGAACGAACGAACCGCTTATCGCGGCGCGCATCCTAGGCCTACTGACTGGTAGCCCACTCACCGTCTCTCACTGGATCCTTGAGTTGCACGAGCGCGACGGTGTTCAACGTCTGTCCGTTTTANTTTTAATTTCTTTTTTAACTTCTTGATTTGATCACTGATGTAGTCAAAATCCTTTTCACGTTTACGTTTCGGCATTTTAACTGCTTAATTTTGAATGTAAAGAAAAAAGTGCAGAACGGTTAAGCACTAAAATGCGAATGACAATATAAGATGGCGGACTGGTGAGGCCGGGGTGACCATAGCGGAAAATTAGTTCTTTTTTTTTTTAAATTATCTCTCAACCATAGTGCAAGATCGGTAACTAATATGCGTTACTACATGTTGTGAATAATAATATATTAATTTCAGGATACTTATCTCGAGGACGAGGTGCGAGTATAATGATATCAANTGATGGCGGATTGGTGAGGCCGGGGTGACCATAGCGGAAAATTAGTTCTTTTTTTTTTATTTATCTCTCAACCATAGTGCAAGATCGGTAACTAATATGCGTTACTACATGTTGTGAATAATAATATATTAATTTCAGGATACTTATCTCGAGGACGAGGTGCGAGTATAATTTCTAAGTGACTTTAATAAGGGACATAGTTACTTATAAAAAAGTGAAACAAAATATGCTGAGACTATGAGAGAGATGAGATGAGCATAAATTAATGACGGCCTCTTCACCAGTTCAAGGATCATTGAAAAGTAAGAAACAGAAAATTAATGGGGGAACTTGTTAATTAACACGAGTATATTATTAAATATTTTCCGCTCCCATAATCACCAATTACCAACTCCAAATTAATCAAGGATAGCAATGATGTATGACTACTTAGATGTAAAAAAAGACGCATAAATAAATTTCATTTTAGTAAAGTCGTCCATATAGATATTAAGCTCATATCACTATTTGTCTTTCATGGGATTTGAACTCGCAAACTCAACTGGAAAATAAAAATACGTTTTTCCCACGGTATCTGGCCCCATCATCAGACCAGCTCCATGGCGAATTTTCAACCGATGATAATTAAGATTTTGCCACAGGTAATAAATTCATAAAATTCATCTATTTTTGCAAATAGGCTTTTAAAAAGCACTTTTGCACGTCCCAATATTAACCCTACCACTGCTTCGGGGCAATAAATGGGCCAGTGCTGAGAAGAAGCAGCGCAAGAAACTCAGTCACTATTGTCAGCCTCCTTTTCAAGGGTTTACAGTCTTTAAAATATACAAATTATAGTCATAAATAAGTATTGATGCGAGCTAGGTAGTTAAACATTTTTATCTATACTTATAATAAATCCGTAGAAAGGTCAATTCTGTACATGAAATATATTTTCAAAATAACTATCAGGGGGTGATTAATGATCGATACTGATGCCAAAAATGCAATCAGTAAAATTTTTGTCTGTCTGTCTGTCTGTCTGTCTGTCTGTCTGTCTGTCTGTCTGTATGTTCCTTATAGAAACAAAAACTACTTGACGGATTTTAACGAAACTTGGTACAATTATTCTTCATACTCCTGGGCAGGTTGTAGGATACTTAGGAATTCCCACGGGAACGGGAATTAGCGGGAAAATCCTTTTGTACAAAAAATCTAAACCGCTTGAGTTAGACGCTTGAAATTTGGCATGCAGGTACCTTAGTAAACTTAAAGCTTAGTTACAACAGGATATTGCAAAATTCCCACGGGAACGGGAGTTAGTGGGAAAAAACATTTGTATGAAAAAATCTAAACCGTGTAAGATAGACTCTTGAAATTTGTCATGCAGGTACTTTAGTAAACTTAAAGCTTAGTTACAACAGGATATTGCAAAATTCTCACGGGAACGGGAGTTAGCGGGAAAAAGCATTTGTATGAAAAAATCTAAACCGCGTAAGATAGACTCTTGAAATTTGGCATGCAGGTACCTTAGTAAACTTAAAGCTTAGTTACAACAGTATATTGCAAAATTCTCACGGGAACGGGAGTTAGCGGGAAAAAACATTTGTATCAAAAAATCTGAACCGCGTAAGATACATAGATGAAAGGGGGGTAAAACGAGATCCACGCGCACGAAGTCGCGGGCGGCCGCTAGTCTTTTATATAATCATGAACTTTATAGTAGCCCTTGCTTTAAATTTATGAATGGGCATGGGATTCTACAACATATTAAACATACATTTCAAATTAAATTACTAGACTGTCATGTAGGCATCTCAAAAGTATTATTCGAAGTGCTTTATCTACTTAATATTCTGTTCGCTTACTCACGATTCACCATAAATAACAACTTTGATTGTTTGATGAGGCCAATTTAGCTATTTAAATAGCAGTTAACTTAACAATGCTGAAACTGATAACTTCGTCTTCGATCCTAGAACCCAGAAGTTTGGCAGTTGTACATAATTTAATTATCTATACAGTGTGTCCGGGCTTGTAGTGATCAAACTTTAATAAGGGCGTAATCTATGGACAATTTTATCGATGAACCGCTGGGAAGGGGTATCTTTGTTCAACAATTACGTCGAAACTAATAGACGTAGACTAATAAATTTACATTCGTTTTGTAGAATAGCTCAAATACTAATAATACAATGCAAATAAAACATACCTTAACGACCTGGTTTTTCTTGTGTTGGAAAATAACTGAAAAAGAAGTGAAAAAAGTCATGTTTTTTTCTAATTAAATCCATTCTTACTCCCTGAAAATGTATGAAACTTGTATCTGTTTTCTACTTTTGCTAATAGATAATTTTATTGGCTATCGCATGATATAAAATATTTGCTTATTAATGTTAAGCTACCCACGCTTTCACTTGTTTTTGAAGGAAGAGGTGAAAACTAAAAATTAAAAACTTAAATCCTTGTAATTTTGCGAGAAATGGGTCAAGCCCCAAATTTGAAGTATTTTCATCGATAAAATTGTCCATAGATTACGCCCTTAANATAAAATGGCGTGATATCCGCTTATCGCGCATCCTAGGCCTACTGACTGGTAGCCCACTCACCGTCTCTCACTGGATCCTTGAGTTGCACGAGCGCGACGGTGTTCATCGTCTGCCCGTTCTCGTACTCGGAGAACGTAATTTCTCACGCGGCGCTTCACCCACTCTTATTATAGAAGCGCTTGCAGCCCAGCCAGGCTAGGATCCGCATAAGACAAAAATCGATAAAATGGCGTGATAACCGCTTATAGCGGCGCGCTTCATAGATCTACCGGTAGCTCGCTCACCGTCTCTCACTGGATCCTTGAGCTGCACGAGCGCGACGGTGTTCAGCGTCTGCCCGTCTTCATACTCGGGGTGCAACACGTAGTTGCTCACGCGGCGCTTCACCCGCACTTGTGTGATTATACTTACAGTGAGCTACCTGGGCTGCAAGGTGCTCGCACTCACTCATCATCATCATCTCAGCCGTAGGACGTCCACTGCTGAACATAGGCCTCCCCAATGCTTTCCATGCTGCCCGGTTGGTAGCGGCCTGCGTCCAGCGCCTTCCTGATGATGTCGTCGGTCAACCTTGTGGGTAGTCCGTACCTAAATAAAGATACAAGTGCTGCAGCCCAGGTAGCTCACTCACCGTCTCTCACTGGATCCTTGAGTTGCACGAGCGCNCATGTTGTGAATAATAATATATTAATTTCAGGATACTTATCTCGAGGACGAGGTGCGAGTATAATATTATCTTGTTTTGTTTCCTGTAATGAAGGACTTAAGGTGAATGAGTTACTTCCGCAGAAGTGTATAAGAGCCCTGAAAAGAACATAGAGATATCTACTACTAATATTATAAAGCTTGTTTGTTTGGTTGCACGCACTAATCTCAAGAACTGCTGGTCCGATTTAAAAAAATATGTTTGTGGTCGATAGCCCATTTATCGTGAAAGGCTTTAATAACATCACCCTGCAGACAATAGGGGCGAAGATTATAGAAAAATGTTGCAAAACGGGAAATATTATTCCAACTGTTTTCACGCGTACGAAGTCGCGGCCTACCTACATAGAAATAAATAGAATTCGCCCATCATTAAAGTACTGTTTTCTGCAAAATAGGCTTTTTACTAAACGCATTTACCACCCAGTATAACAATGTATACAGTGCTGAAAAGAAGCAACGCAATTGATCTAACATGCATTGCCATTCATAAAATATTTTTCTTGTTTCAGATTTTTCAACGCCGGTCAGCGAGAGGCAAAACGTCGTTATTCACAGGTAAGTTTTCTTAATAATGCATTTATTTTGATTGACTTTTGATGTCAACTAGGTATCTACGGTCAAATGCGGTCAATACATCGGTTTGTAAAACCTAAAAAGTTGGCTTAATGTGGCTTAACTTTTGGCATAGGCTCTTTCCTACTCTCTTTACTAACTGTATATTAATATACAAAGCTAATGTGCCTAACAAAAGCCTGTATAAAAGAACAATCACACAAATAGACGCCCAGAACATAGCTAACCTCATCTAATGCTTTTAAAGTAAGTAAGATGAAAGGGATTATGTAGAACAACCCGAGCGTCTTACTGCAATGTATTATTAAGGACCTGTAGCTGACTGGTATGGGAAGCCTGGTACGGCCGCGGCCTGACTGAGAGCGGGGAAATTTGACTGATAATTTTGTTTGTTAGAATCAATCGGAAATGGTCAGGCTGTTTGTTAGCGTCTTACTGCAATGTATTATTAAGGACCTGTAGCTGACTGGTATGGGAAGCCTGGTACGGCCGCGGCCTGACTGAGAGCGGGGAAATTTGACTGATAATTTTGTTTGTTAGAATCGGTTGGAAATGCTTAGGCTGCTTGTTAGTCAATGCAGAACTCTACATTGAATATCTCTTAGGCTCAGTTTTTTGATCTGTTATAACCAATAGTCAAATTTGACAGCTGTCAAATGACAAGTGGTTAAATATCAGAAAAAATGTTTTTGAACAAAAAATGGTTAGCTTGATTTTTAACCGACTTCAAAAAAGGAGGAGGTTCTATGTTCGGCTGTATTTAGTACATTTTTTAACTATTAGTAGCAAAATTTGACAAATAGTTATTTTAACTACGAAAAACTGGGCCTAAAGTTAATATGCAACTTTAGTTCCGTAGAGGTCACGCATAATCTCATTCCCTTGGAAAGTTAAAAGTGACAGTGGTCTTATCAGTTTCATCATCTTCATCAATTAGCCACATAACGTCCACTGCTGTACATAGGCCTCCCCCAATGCTTTTCATGTTGCCCGGTTGGTAGCGGCCTGCGTCCAGCGCCTTCCTGCTACCTTTATGATGTCCTCAGTCCACCTTGTGATAAAAGAGAGACCTAAAGTTCGAAAGTCGTGCCTTGGACCTGATGATGCCTGTCGTCCAAAAAATCGGGTTACAACTATCCTATATTTTTTCCCCTTAGTCTCAAA